CAGATTAAAAAAAACCCTCTATTGCTATATTTAAAATAAAAAAATCAGGGGTCAATACAGCCCCCATTTGGCTGCAGCTGTAAAGAGTTCACATTGATATTCATTTTTTTTCTAATTCTACAGATGCAAATTAGCTCAAGGAAGGAACTTAGTTTATTCTATCTTTGAAGTAGTGAGCCCAGAAAAGTAATATGTTTTGACATTAAATATCTATTTCTATTCTATTATATAAATATAAAATATGAATGATTATTTGCTTCTCTTCTCAAGAATGCCATTCCCGATCTAGCCTTGATCAAAGTGATAGAAAATCAGAATGAAAATACAGTGCAATAAAATGCACAGTAGGCATTCAAGCCAATGCACATTTAAAACAGTCTCCAAAAAAAAATCATTTCAGAATGCACCTGGAATATTCCTCACTGTTGCCTCAAATAGGAAGGAACTCACCACCAAGTTACACACTAAAAATAAGTTAAATTCCAAGTACACTCAAGGAAAGATTAAAGTATTTGGAGGTGGTTTGTAAATAAAGCTACAATTACTGACTACAGTATTCAGTATTAATTTTTTACTGAGCTTTCCTACACTCTCTGAAATCTTTTGCAGTGCTCTGAATGAAGAAGCACTCCCTAGCAACTTTCACTCTCAGCTTTGAATTACTTGCTGCGATCTTTTGCTCATCAAATCAAGTTCATTTTGCACCCATTAACACATCACTTGAAATAAAAATTCATTTATTGACCAGGACACCAATTCACCAGTATTTGATTGGAAATATCTGAATGCAGTACGTGCTGTTTAATACTTTCTCACATATATATGTACACGTACATGCAGAAAAACCATCGTGAATTGCAGCTGTTGATATGGCACATATAAACCCCAAAATGCACATCTGAAGATCTGCACCCACACAAATACACATGTGCACACTAAAATGTGCACACCACATAGGCATATGAGTAAGCACAAATATCTCAAACACATACATTGCTCAAACTGTGCATAAACCGTACCATCCTAACAGTACCCAAAAAAAAGCTCAAAGACTGGTGTAAAAATCATCAGTGGAAAAAAAATCCATTTCTCTTCATTGCAAACGTTTGTTAAATGTAAATGCTAATATTCTACTCCTTGGAAGAACATTTGTCTGCGTGTGGAATTTCATGATAAAAGGCTTTAGAGTCCCAGGTTTCTCTAGATAAACCCCGCTGGTTTACTGATGCATGAATGCACTGAAATTGAATTACTGTACAACAGCAATTACTTTTCACAGTACAGTTATAATGAGAATCAGCTTCACAATGAACACCAGGTAGCTATAGTAGGAAAAGTTAATAAAAAGAAGCCTCTTATTTGCATTTTCCATGCAGCAAGTGTAGTTGCCTTAAAGAAAAACCATCCTTAACACTTGATTTGCCATCATAGCAGTGAATCAACAATAATTTTTATAGCACCCCTTTATTTTCCAGAAAATATTAATGAAATCAAAATTTTAGTACTAAGCTAAAGTTATAATAATAGCTTTTCAAACATTCCCTAATAACTTGGTTATCTTTCATTTTGCTCTTTTTCTCCTCCCTCTAGCCTTCGATTTTTTCCCAGTATGTCAATAACTAGGAAAAGTAAAAGCACCAAATGAACAATTTTAACCTCTTTTTCACTATCAAGTTTGTTGCCATGGTCATTGTTACTTACTGAGCATTATGTCACATAATTCATTCCCATTCAGTTTCAAATTAGTAAAGTCACTGAAGAATCATAAAACCTTCTAAAAATTATATTCAAAAGAAATCACAGGTAACTTTAAGACTGATGAAGCAAACTTCCTATGAGTGAAATCAGTAAAAGTCCCAGAAAAGCAGCAATACCTCAAGTGGCAGCAGACTACACAAAGGTCTCAAATGGATTATTTGTGTTTGGCTGTAAAATTAAAACAACTGCTGAACAGTACAGGAAACATTTCTGTGTCTGTCACCTTATGGGCAGTAAGATTTTTCCCATCTCAAGATTTGTAATATTAAAAGTAAATGGATCCATTTACCTTTGTCACAGATAGAAACAAAACACCAGAGGCACTGAATCAAAACACAGCTCAGGGATTTTAACTTAATTCATGTCACAAATACTTCAGAATAAAACACAAAGCTGCCTGCCTGAAATTCAATCAGGCAGGGCAGCATTAGGAAGGAAATGGTTAACAGGAATATCCTGAACTGATATAAACCCAAGGTAAATAGTGAACACTGGGGGGAAGGAGGGGGGGGGGAAATGTTGCTTGCAAGGTTTTCCATCAGAAAGTAGATGACAAAAGGTTATATAATTGGTTTAGTACTTTCAGTTTTCCATTTATCTTATGTATCTGACAGAACAAAAATAGGACAATCTGTGATAGGATAATTGCATACTGAAGGGTAATTCAAACAGGGAATGAATATGATAAAAATCACACTGAACCAACTAATCACTATGAAAAGCGATGAGACAGAAAGATAAAAATTCATCCAGAATATTAAGGGGGAGAAGGGAGAAGAGTTCACATGTGATTAGTAGCTTCAAAAAAGTTCATATGTTTGAAAGCATCAAGGAGAATCAAAACAAAAAAAAAAACCAACAAAAAAAACCTCCACAAAACCTCATTCTTCTTGGCCTTTTCTACAAATCAAACACTTTATGTGCTATGAATTTTTGAACACTTTCAGAGTGCTTCATCTGCTAACACCTGAAGAAGTATGTTTAGCCCAAAATGCTTCTGGATAAAACATTTTAATCAACAATGGATTTTGATGTGTACTTGAAGCAAATTCACTCAGTGGTGTAGGGTAACAATTTGGGCTAATATTGGAACACATTTTCTGAGTCCTTGGACTTGCAGCCTCACAATCATGTCCCTGTTATTTCTAAGGCTGAGGGATATTTTGTATGATATTCTTCATTTCGGACTCCCTCCAGCGTCACCACCAATATACCTGACATATTGCTCTGAATTGTACATTTCAGTGCTCTTGCACAATTTTCCATCAAAAGCTAATGTCAAAATTCAAGTATTTTAGAGACAAGATGATCCAGTACGAGGATGGAACAGAGCTCTTAAGTGTAGAGGAGTTTTCTAATTCCCATCTCACCTTCCAAGATGTGAGGGGAAAATCAGTTGTGATGAACCAAGGATGAAATTTTTGCAAAACCTGTGTTGTACCAAAGGTTTTTGTACTTCTCAAGATGCAAATTACCAAGCACTACTTACTACCAGAACAGAACGGGTCACTCTTTACATCTCCAGCATCAAAAAAGACCAATTTCTATAATTAAGCAAAAATTAATAGCTTAATTTGAAAGTACACTAAACAGATCATTTCTTAAAAGAAGTAACCCTGTCCAAACCATGCTTTTAGCTTCCTTTCCAAAGATGGAAACCTTCCAGAAAGGCTGTGGATTTCAGTCACTTTTTCCAGCACTAAAATCCATTCACTCAAGATTACACGCACGGTTTAACTTCGCGGAATTTGGGCTTGTTTTCACTCAGAGCATGGTGGTCTATATTGATCCTGTATTTTTTTTCCCTCCTTAGATAAAAACACCATCTGTATGAAGAGACCAAACCTGCTCTAAACATTTGTTATGAAGCTCTAATTGAGACACAAACTGCTCTTCCCCACCCCACTCCTCCCTGGTGGAATTCTATTCCCTCACCAGCCGAGTGTGCAGCTCGCTGGTCACCTCTCGCTCTGAACAAGTGCTGCTCCAAGAATGCTTTGTTCACATGATGATCTCAGGGGAGCAGTTTTCTCTGCAAAGAAACAGGGAAAAGAGTCCTCCCCCTTCCCCAAGTCAATATTCTTCAGGCTTCTGGAAGCTGTTGCACACATATTAAAGTGTAGTTTTTCCTCTGAAAAACACACTGTAAAAATAGCATTGCGGGGTTCCATGTTTATTGTCTTTCTCTGCTTCCCTGCCAAGTGAGCTCAGTTTTACAAGCTGAAATATGTTTTACTTCACTGCCAGCCCTGAAAATTCAACCTCTTCAACGTAGCCAAATTCCTTCCTCCCTTTTGCACCATAACAAATGATACAAGGCTGAGGGTGGAATCGTATCCTCAGCCACACAAAAGGAATCCCTGTCCTCGGGTGATACCTCCAGCTCTGCAGTGGAGACAGGAGGATCTTCAGCTCAATTGAGCAGCTAAGTCTGGCTGAAATAGAGCAGCTGATGGTAAACAGCAGCACCATCATGTCCTGTGAGTTTGCTGACAGGGGTGATGCCACACTCTCCCAGGCAGTCACCTCAATTTCTAACAAAGAATAATGCAAAAGCAAAACTACAACAGGAAGATTTTTTTTTTTTTACTCTTTAGACCACACATGTTACAACAAACTCCTATTTGATATAACAAAACATAAAAATCTGAACTTTTTTCTTGGTTTTATAGTAAGTCTAATTGACACCAAAGCTATTACAAAAGGAGGATCAGAATGGAGATAGAAAAATACAGAAAAAAAAATCAGAGAGCAGTCTAGTTATTCAGTGATCATTAACAAGTTGCCTGAAGAGTGATGCTGTACTTACCACAATTAAAATGTTTACCATTTGAAGTGTTTGCATCTTTTTCTGAACTAAAGGACAGTTACTGAACTCAGACATTTCCCTCCAATACTATTTGTATAATAATGAGCACTGAAATTAAGTCTGCTTTGGTTGGATATTTTAAAATCTAACATTTCAACCATATGCACTTAGGTTTTACTGCACACAGTGATGTGTTACAAACTCATATTGGAAATTGGTAGTCCCAATCTCGTTGCACTCTCTTACATTTGTCTATTGATGGTATACATAATTTAAATCTATTCTCTTGAACAGTGATCCTAAAATACTTCTGAATGCTTTAGCATTTCCACTTCAGCACCTTCAATTGCTAGTACAGCCTTCAGAGCAGAGCCTAAACCATATATTTAGTTTTACATCATAGAAGGAAATAGCAGATTGTTCTGCTGCTTACCCGTACAGCTTCAGACTTCTTATGAAACATTTCTTCCATATTCTTTGCTAACTTTTTCACAAGCTGAAGGCCATCAATTTCTTCTATTGCAACATCCTTCTCATATTCTTTGTATTTCTGGAAGAAGAAAAGAAAAATAGGGAAAAGTTACTCACAGGGAACCAGCTGAAATTTTGACAACTCATTATTCGTTTTATATTACACTTTTGCTGACATTCCTCATTTATTTGATGTTTATTTGCGTGACAGCAGGCTGCTTTGTGCCAAGATGCTGTCATGGGGAGAGAATAACTGGATTAGAACCAGAAGTCCATTTGAAAAATAATAACAATATTTATCTCATGCACTGTAGGAAAACGATAACTCCCCTTCACAATGTTTAAATTACTCTTTCCCACAACTAAACAAGAGCCAAAAAAAAGTAACGAAAAATCCTTGTATCTCCTCCAAAAATCATGTAAAAACAGTGATATGATTGGCAATCCCTATGCCTTAGCAACCTAGAATCCTCCTCAGCTGAACTTCCTGTAGATGCCTATTTCACAAGATTTATACAAAACTTACATTAGGCGTACTCACACTACAAGCTTATCTAGACATGCTTAACTTTTCATGCAAAGAAAAGCCTAAACAGAGCACATCAACTTGAGCCTTCATCTAAACACAAGCATCAAAGCATCCTTTAGCCAATATCATGAGCATGATACTTCACAGTGTGAATAACACTCAGAATGCCTAAGCACTAAAAATATATTGAAAACAAGTTTTATCCTCTATTTTCTGCATATCAATACTCCAAGGAAGCTTCGTAAAAATTAATTATTAAAAAGAATTTCATGCTTCCCCACATTATTGCACTGCAGCCTGTACTCTAAGAACTGTTGGCTTCCACTCTGGCCATGGTTTGCCTCTCTCTAAAACATGCACAGTTTTGTTGAACTGATCCCTGCCCATCACCAAACCCTTCACCTGACCACAAACCTGCACCTCCATGGCACAGGGAGGGAGAGGAAGGCACTCCTGCCTCCTCCCAATCAGCCCCTGTGCCAAAAATATCTCCCCAACCTCTCCAGCAGACTTTTGGGGCAACCCACAGTGTTTGAGTGAATAAAATGAAATAGTATCATTAAAAAAAATTATCATTAAAATTTGCCTACAGAATGATGATTTTTATAGAACTCCAGAGAGACAATGGAGAATAAGGTGACCAAAAACAGTGGTTCAAAGCAGCTGGATGAATATTAAAATGTTCAAAACAGTGAATAAGCCAGTTATGTCCTGGCTGGTGATGCAAGAAAGGACTCTTCTGTTAAGAGAATGCCTGCACATGTTGTACCCATTTCCCCCAACAAAACTAATTTTCTAGACTGACACTTTGTACTTCCTTTAAACCTTACACTTCTCTGTAAAAACTTGTGTGAATGTTTTGATAATGAAACAATATTTAATAAAACATAATTTGCAGACAATTTCAGAATGAAGTTAAAAATACAAAGTTGTCAGTAAATATTTAGGGCAATATTTTATATATATAATTTCAGAAATAACTTCATTTTTCCACATTATTGCCTGTCATGAAATCTCTAGTTTGAGACCTTAATAGAAATCTAGCAACCTAAGAAACCTCAAACAAACCCCTTGCATTTCACTCCCTCGAGGCAGGCAGAGAGATTTGGGTTTTCCCCCCTCTTTGATCTGCACTTAGATACCATCAACAGAGTTCTGATTTCAACTCTTGAAGTCCATTTATGTCATTACTCGAGATAAAAGGGATTTTTCTAAAATAGAAAAATGCACTTTTATTTTTTATTCACTGGAGAAAATATAAGAGCACAGTAGACAAGAGAGGCAAATGCTATTGTAACCAACACCATGATAAAATGCAGTAAATGATCAGTAAACTGAAAACACTGCCAGTTAATTAATGATGTCAATGTCTGTCCACATCCCACAGGATTTGACGCTTTGGGGAATTTTAAACAAATCAAGAACAAATTTGAATCACTTATTTCCAGCTGCACAGATCATGTTCAACATATCACCTCCTGATAAAAATGTTTCCTTTAGACTTGACCTTTGAGTTTTTAGAAAGTATTCTAAAATGCATCACTTGAAAAGACAGCTTTCAGGTCATCAGATTTATTGATTTGAGCTCTGCCATTGAGTGAAGAAAGCCAGGCAATTATTCACAGTGCTTGCCTGAAAACTGAATGGAACTGTTGAAATCCACAACATTTTCTAGGCACACAGAGCCCTACCACATGGTCTATTAGGCTCTTGTGAAAGCACATTAAAAAGCCACACTTCTCAATGTTGAGTAACGGGTACTTGTGAAAACTAAAAATAACTGGCACTCAAAAGAGATGTGAATGATTTCTTAACTCCTCATTTATGATCTTGTAATTATGCCAGTTTATAGTAAATAAATGCATTTTTTCATAATTCAAATGCCAAAGTTCCAACACAAAAGAAGAAATTGGAAGAAACAGAAGATATTATTTCAGATCTATTTGAAAAGACCCCACATCTTGCATGGTGTGCAACTCTGCTCAGTTGCTGGAAACCTTTAAGAACATTTGCAACAAAACCAGGAGAGTTTGGTCTGCAAGACCCTGGGCAACTAAGAGGTTTATGTAATACATATTTTATATTTGGAATTCCACTGCCATAAAAAAATCACTTCTATCATTTTTCCAGCCATCACTGGGAGGTTCCAAAACAGGAGAAGTATGTGGTTGGAAAAAACTTGCAGCTGTTTTTGCTCTCCTGGTGCCTGGGGGGGGAGAGGTGCCAGCCTGACCTGGGGGTGTCTGTGCCCGTAGTGCTCACTCTGCAGGATGCTGGGATTTAGATTCCACCCATAAAGAACCTGATTTTATAACAACTATCAACGCAGGAAACCTGAATCACACAGGATAGTGAAAAAACAAAACCAAACTACAATAAAACCACAACAAAGGCTGTCATTAACATTGCATTCTCTTCCTTTCACTGCAGAGGCTGTCTGACCTCCAGGCCCTCAGCCTTTCCCCATCACTAAATTTTTACATATTAAATTTGGGGTTAAGTTTCAATAAATTAAAATAGCAAAGGCATAGTCCCTCTGAAATGAATTTGAAAAATTTTTTAAATGAAATTATTATATTTTATGTCATCTTGAGAAAGCAGCATGACATTATTTTTCCAGTTAAGCAAAGTGAATAGTGGAGAAAACCAAGCTTTTGGGCCTTTATACTCCAGACTTGCAAACTGCCTTAGTGCACTGCCACTATGAAGCTGCTCATAGAAACAATGCCTTAAACTATCATTTCCCTTCCCTGTAAAAAAATGAAACTGATGACAAAGTTGTTTTGTTTTATTAAAAAAAAAAACAGCCCTTAAGCTTTTTTTAATCTTCCCTAATTTTACTTCATTAAGAGAAACTGATAATCCTCATCATTTGTAACACAGGCAATAATACATGTGTATTTTTATTAAAAGGAGAAAAAATAGCTCTAACTTTGCTATAAACAATTGACTTGCTTAAAAAAGAGTATGAAATATTAGAGGCATAGTTGGAAACTTCTGATAAACGAATTTCCAATTGTCTAGAAGATGAAGCAGGTACAACTTCTGATTTGCTGCATTATAAAAAAAAATACTTGAAATGCTGATTCTGTTGGCTTGCAAAAATCACCATTTGGTAAGAAATTCTCTAGAGAGACAAGACCATTTATCATTTGAGAAAGCCCACAAAAAATAAATTATTTCTTCAGTATCTGTTTTGCCAGATCATTTCACATAAGCACCGGGGAAAGACAGACAGTATTTCACTGTCAGAACCCTTAATGCTTTTATGTTTTTCACTGGTTTAGGTGTGGGAGTTTTTTCTTGGTAAGTGATCATCTAGAAATAACAAACCAAAAAGCTATCTGTACAAAACTCAGATCAGAAGTGTTTAATGCAATCTAAATATTTGGCACTGAAAGATAACACAAATACACACAGACTAAGAATTGCTAACAAAAAAATTTACCAGAGTCCCCAAAACAAACAAAACCAAGCAAAGTCAAACCACACCAAAACCCATGGAGTTAGAGTGACCAAGGCAGGAAAAGAAATCCACTCCTGAAGCAAGACTCGACTTCAGCTTAAATTTTTTTCTCCTTGTTTTTATTCTAAAGAGAAACATGGTCTTTGTGGTCCTATTTGTATCTACTTTTATCAAGTCTAATCAAAATCAAGATATTCACCTTTGTGCTGTAAACAAAAATATTTCAAGTTACTTACATGTGTGCACACCATCCTTAGTCTCAGTCTTTGAAAAGGGCTCTGGTTGCTTTGTACATCTGCAGAACACTACCCATTTATGATGAAAATTCTTCCCCCTCCCTGGGATTTTCAGAGCCAGTAAATACCACTACCATCCTGATTAAAGAAAGGAATTCAACAGGAATCTTGCAATAATACTTTAAAAGTCATCTCTCTGTGTTGCCTGTTTGGAGCTGTAATTTGCCTCTGAGGTGCATTCATAGCTCTATTGCACACGCTTCACAAATGTTGCTGGTTGAGAGATTTTGTCACAGGCATGTTAAAACTATATGTGCATATATACATTTTATGTTTTATAATGAAAAAGCAGAACCAGCATGCAAATGGCAGATCAAATATCCAATCTATCCATTGTTTCCATGAAAAAATTAAATGTGTGTTTACCCCATGCCATTTTCAAAAAACCACTTTCAGATGTGCAAGCCTCAATGTTGCGAATGTAAAGAGAGATTGCAGAAACATACACTTTTGATTAAATCACCAACTTTTGATTTCAATTAATATCTCTGGCCCAGCAGAAAGGCTGTGCTATGCAGAGCTTGAACTGTTTAGAATTGTTTCACTCCCTCTGCCGTGCAGTCCCCTGCAGTGACTCCCTTCAGAGAGGCAGTGCTGGACTGAGGGGCCACAGGAGTTAATAAACTTAATAGAAATATTTTGATTCTATATTTAAGATACCCCAACAATCAGATGTAATCAATGAGCCTGAAAGGCTGTAAAATGCTTGCAGCTGATACAATTTGCAGCTCTTAAAGCAGTTTCTTTAGTTACAGAGCCAAAAGTTATGCCACAGTCCTGACCATATT